TTGTTTAATAAAAAAATTCAGTTGAATTTTTTTTCTATATCATTACTATACATTATGTACAAATACCCTGCATTCAGTTAAAATATAATTAAAACCATTCAAAACACACAGCATGCAAAAATCAAAAACAGTGCAGATTTTGACACGTAATGTTGCATAAGATTATAGGAAAGATCACTGAATGAGAAAAGAATCCAAAGATATGAAAGACTTACTTAAAAGCGAGTTCTAAGCACAGTCAAACAGAAGATATAAACATCCATGCAAGAGATGATAGAAAAAGAAAATTAATCTTCAGTAACAAATATGATTATCCCTGATTGTGATAATGACTGTTCATGCTCAGTATTAGGGCATCAACAAATTTTTCAGGCATCATTGTCTATTGCAGTTATAGTGCTAATCTTTTTGCAAAAACTGACATAATGTTAGAATCAAACACACTCATTTTCTGGCTAGCCCACCACTGTGACAAAGCGTTTCGTCATTCGCTCCCGTGTGCCATGCATTCAAACTTTTGTAATGTATTAGAAACTAATATTTTGGCCACCAAGGTGGCATTATATCTTTATATGGTTTGAGATACATGTAGATTTGACTTTGTACTTGAAATGAGACAAAGATGACTGACAAGCACATAGATTTTTAGTTTATAAATATAAAGCAAAAGCCATATTTGCAGTTTGACTTGAAGATTTTCTCGTGGCTCTTTAAATGACCATGTGATATTTATTGATGAACATTATGGGGAATTCCCCCCCCACACAACATAAGATGCTTCTTTTATTGTGCACATGGTATTTATTGATACATGTTATGGTAGATTATTATTATTATTATTATTATTATTATTTTCCTGGCAGAGCACTGGGTGTGTGTCTGGATTTCTAATTGTTTGAATTTCTAATCAAGAATTACGCTTTATGTATGTGAAATGTTCCTATTTTGCACATTACAATGTCAAAGCATCAAAAATTAACAAATGATGTGAATCTAAATAAAGTTATATCTAACTTTATCGTTTATATAGAGAAAGAAACAGAGTTGAAACTTCAGAATTATATGAGGAAAGACTTGTTAAATCTCTACTTGAAGAACTTTTTGGTGAAAGGTATACTATTTACATATTTTTTTTTTTTTTTTTTTTTTAATGTTTCCAACACTGGTAGATGAACTCTTTAGAACTTGGAACAAATACTTGTGGAACTGTAATGAGAAGTAGGAAAAGAATGAGTGAAAATTTTCTGCCACCCAAAATGAAAATTGGTGAGATGCTGCCTACACTTAACTGCTTTCAAAAATAGACAGGAAGTGCTTTATTCAAATAAAACTCGTAAGAAAGTGTGACAGCAATGTTTTGTTTGTTCATACTCCTGCAAAAATCCTCCTCCAAAAAGGCAAATGAACTACAGTCAAAAGTCGATAATCTGGATTATAGATCATCAGTTTAAATCTGGTAAAATGGCATGCAGAAATAATAAAATTAAGAATATGAAACCGTAATTTACGAAGTAAAGAACAATTATGATCTAAAGGGTATCAAAATTTACAAAAAAAAAAAGCTTAATATTTATTTGTTTACTTTATTAAACATTTCTTTCAATGTAAGTCGTTTAAGTTGCTTTGTTTTTTATGTAATAATACATTCTCTTTAATTCTATAAACAGACATAATTTCTTGTTCAGTTACAAAGTTCCGCTGTTAAAGTCCTATAATTGCTGTGTCGAGAATACCGACTAATTTGTCAATCGAAATTTTTTCGTTTTCAATAACCTCTGTCAATTTCTTCGCTATCGAAAGCAAATTATAATGACGAGGCATTTGATTTAAATCATATCAAAGACTGAGTACATCGAGATGAAATACTACATTGAGTAAGCAATTATAAGCCAAATAAAATAAAACATCTGCCCTTAAGATAAGGATAGTGCTGACAGATCAACTTCCAATTCATTGCACGCTGCCCCGTTAAAGATAAACAAAGTTTAGATAAACAAACGTTAAAGTTTAGATAAACAAAGGATATGCCTTTATCCATTTTTTGCAGCAATTCCACTTTTTGTTTAATGGACTCCGAAAGATACTTTCGCTTTGTATATCCTTACATAGTTAGTAAATATATATCGGAAATTCTATTTGACATAATCGAAAAGTTCAAGCTTACTTTTATAAAATTGCTCTAACAGTCTGCAAAAAATAATAATCCGGATCCAATTCGAAGATTAAGGAACAACGCTATCTGCAACATTAACTGAAATAGATAATTAAATAATTTTAGCTTAGCTTATCCCGTCCGTTATACATTAAACGCGCATTCATAAACGTATTTTGCGCACGCGCACACGCAAATTCACAGCGGTAAAGGTCTTACGCGCATGCGTCAAAAAGTTTGTAGCTTTGAGGTCCGGATTATAGATCATTCCGGATTATGGGTGTCCGAATTAACGACTTTTGACTGTATTTTGAATGCAAGAATTTAACAAAGGACTAGATGCAGATCTCTGCTTTGAAATTTATCACACTAAAAACGAGTTTTAAGTAAAATGTTTAGTTGTCAAATGTATAATGTCAGAAGTCACTAACATGTAAGTAAATACTGGAAAAAAATTAATACACAAAATAAAAATATTTTAAACAACAACAAAAAAAAAACTTAACTATATGAAGTATGTAAATAATATGGCAACTGATGACATGCTGCTACGTGTCTCCTGAGAATAACATTCCATTTATATTTCATTAGGCTTTGGGTTGGTTCATAGACTGTGTGGAAAATACCTGAATTCTCTAAAAGTTCAGTGACACCTGTTATACAATGAGATGTAATGTTGTCATTCATGAAAGAAATTTAAATCCCAAAGTATTGAAGTAAAGTTACACATTTCACCAATGACTGTGTAGAGACATTAGGTACTTTTTGGAAGCAGGCAAGATGAAAAATGAGCAATCGCCTTTGCCGGGAATCAAACCACAGACCTCTGGAATACCGGCCCAGCGTGCAGAACTGCTATACCACAAAGGCGGAAGAAATACTTTATGACTGAACCATTTTTAAACATGCGGATCGCTGCCCAAGTACTAAATATCACGCATTCTAAAATGAGAAATCCAACATCTTCAATCAAATGTCTTTCTAAGATGCTGGACAGCTGAATTTATGTCTCCTGCTGTCTCCAGGATGCCTTGAAACACTAGGACTAAATCGGCTCTTTGTACACAGAACTCAACTCCATTGCTGAATTCCTTCGTCCATGTATTCCTGACATCACAGAAAATGCAGTCTCTTATGGATACACATCAGTGCCAAACACCATAGTGGTTGCCAAGCAAACAAATTAGATATATACAGTTTCCTTGCCATAGCGAAATGAGATTTTAGGCAAACATGCATCTTGCAATTTCGCACATTACCTGCCAGGGACCTCTCCTCACCTGTAAAACAAATTACTGATTCACCATCACCCTGGTTCATCATGAACAACCACAACTAAAGATTCAGACAACAGTTTCTATTATTTAAAACAATGCCCAAGCTCATGACATGATACTGTGAGCAATCTCAAATGCTTCATTCTCAAGAGTAATATTTAAACTTCCTTCCAGGTTCTCAATGATTTGACCATGGATGAAGTCATTAAATATTATTGTGAACTGTCCATTGCACACAACAGTGACAGCAACTTGATGTCACTGAAACTGATCACTGAAAATTCATAATTCCCAGTGTACAGTTGCTTTTGCTTCCACTAAATCCTTCTTGTATGGTCACAGTATATCATGCTTTACATTTGTGTAAGCCCTATTATACCATATCCTAAGCAATCTTCTGACTCATCTTTTAATTGGTTCTGCTCCCTTGTTCAACTATTCTGTTAATTTCTTCATTTTATCCTTAATGTTTGCCTATTAGTGTATAAAACTACAGCCTTTTAAAATATCAATAAAATAAGTAGTTCAGATTTACCAATGTCAAAATAGGGGGGAAAGAGCAATAAAATTGATTCACCAAAGCACCAAACCAAAATTTTCAGTTTTTGAACATAAACTAACATTTTATAACATTTCATAACACTTCAGTCTTCATGTCAAATATTTCTAACTAATTTAATTTTATACTGGGCCATATAAAACGTCTCTGTAGTTTTTACATTTTTTTAAAAAAAAATTCTTTATTGAATATCAATTTTAATCAAGCACATATTGACCATTATTATCTATGACCTTTTGACATTTTTCAGGTAGCTTCATAATTCCATCAGTGTAGAACTTCTGTATTTATCGTTGAAAAAATTGAGCATGTGATTTTCAGTGGCGCTTCTGTCGGCCAGTTTTTTACAATTAAGAGAGATTTGCACAGACTGAAACAAATGGCAGTCATACGGTGCATGCATCAAAACTCCCCAACCAAGTTCCAAGTCATCAAAGATGAGTGTGGCCGCATATTGTCACAATGGAACACAACTCCCCTTCTGTTGGCCAATTCTGGTTGCTCTTTCTGGATTACTTCATTCAAATGGTCAAGCTGTGTACAGTACAGGGCCGAATTGATGGTTTTGTCAGATTGCAGCAGCTCAATTGACAATTCTGAATTCTTTGACATCAGAATTTCCAGAAAAAAATCGAGCAAACCATACCTGTGTCCTTTGTTCACAGCATTCTCACAGTACACTTCATAAATTTTTTGGCATGTTTTGCAGCATTTTTACCTTTTTTACAGTAAAAAAGCTTCACATAGCATATTTCTTCAGACAATTCACTCATTTTCAAATCAATACTTTTTACATGAGCAACGAATTAGAAAACTATCTTCACAAAAAATGGAAACTGAATGGCACCTTTTAAGTACATGTTCGTTTGAGAGAATCGGATGAGTGCTGCTGGATATATAGGCTTCAACACCATCTAGTTGCAAAAACCCGTAGAGACTTTTTATATGACCCAATATTTGAAGTGAAATTACATCTAATTAAAATCAACAATTTATTATGAAAAATACTAACTTCTAAAATGCAAGCATCTTTGTTACCAGCTGATAGATCCAGGTCAGGCAAATCTTCATCACCACTGCTATTACCTTCATCATTCTTTCCAAGTGATTGAGATTCATGGGTATCCTCAATTTTTAAAAATGGTTTAATAAAAGAAAAATTACAGCAATGAAATCTGAACAAATCTATAATAATAGTATTTCTTGCAAAAGGCAAATTACTTATACTCATTTATTCATTCAACTAAAAAAAAAATACTAAATAAGATGTTAAAACTGAAAGAAAAACTAAGAATTACACATCACAAGCATAATAATAACCAATAAATATAAACTAACAACACCACAAATGATTTCCTCCATGTTAACTTAAGAAACAAAGTTAAGCTATTGAAAGCTGAAGTACATAATACAATAAGTAAAATTTTAAAAAGAGTCTAAAAATTATTTAATAAATTCCATTAAGTTTATATAAAAAGGGGTTTAGAGTTCACTAGCCCTCAATGTTATTGATAAAACAATTACTTTCATGGTAATATAAAAAATCAGAATTAGGAAAACTGAGATTTCCAGGTAAACAGATAAAAGAAAAAATAATTTTAGAAATGCAGGTGAGAAGTAAGACACTAGAAATCTAGAAAGTATGATGATATTTATGTGATTTGCATATTTTGTTTACTTTATAATAATTTAATTTTTAAAATATAATTGTAAACTGCCTCAATAAAGGCACATATGGATTACCTTTTTGTTATGCACCTCTTGCCAATTTGATATCAGCTCAAGTAATCATATGATATTTTTTTTTTTTTTTTTTTTTTAAAGTTGAATAAGAATTGAGATTCACAGAATGATAAATAATAAAAATTAGATAAAACATACGTTAACTTATTAACCACTTGCCTGATTATCCCGAGTTATCTCGGGTTCATATATATTGCACTTAATTATTATCCCGTGAAAACTTGGGCGAAGCAGAATTTGTTAGTACGATTTGTTTTATTACCGTTTTACTCGGCCCGGAGAAAATGAAAGGAAATATTCAGCTTTGATTGGCAGTTTGCCAAATTTTGTTGGTTGCTCAGTTCTTTTGGAGGGGCTGGTCACGTGTTTCGCTATTGTATAGCATATGTCGGCTTGTGGATTAGTAATGTATAAAGAAGGATACACGCGTTGAAAAAAATAAAACAATGGCAATGATGCAAGATAGCGAAAGCGATGATTTTTCAGATAGTGATTATGAAGAGGTGGAGGAAAAAATTTTTAAAAAAATCAAATCCAAAGAGACAGTGCTCCTGAAAGAGATTCCTTTGAGAGAGACTTTGTGCTCCTGAAAGAGATTCCAGCGGTAAGCCAGTAAGAAAAGAGACCAGAAACCAGTGTAGAATGTCAGGTATCACTTTGTGTTGTCCCTTGTTTCAAAAACTATCATACAAAGACTAATATATTTAACTTTTTTCGTTTGCCTGAGATAACTCGGAATAGTAAACTAATATTAAAACTAAATACTTTTACACTTTAAAAAAAATTAAAAATTCAACTTAAAACCTACATATTTTGATTTGCTTCATTTCATTGTATTTAATAATAAATTTAAAAAATGTGATGATTTTTTGCAATTTTTTTCAAAAAAATTTGTAAGGGAAGTGGTTAATATTTAAGACCAAATTTATTTCCCAGAATTTACTGATATGATGCTAAAACATTATGATATATTGTACATAAAACCTACATGGGAAGAATATTCAAAAGAGTCCAAAAAAATTCAATTCTGTTTAGTATACTTCAACATTTTATATAATAACTAGATATAAAATTATAATTTTTTTATTAATTTTAATTTCTTTCACATATTAAAAATCTGCCACTGTTTAACTGCTTAAATGGCATAAGATATAAATAGAAAACAGAGTTTTAACTGAGATTACATAACTGAATAAAGCATCCCATTAATTTTTATTTTATGTTCAACTTCTAAAATATAAAAATTAGTTAAATTACAAATTTGCAAATTAGCTAAAATTACAAAGAAAATAAATTTCTTCTATTGTTCCATAAAAATGGATTAAATAATTTTTACTTACAGTGGACGGTATTTTAATACCAAAGTATTCTTTATTTTTGGCCATAGCGTCTTGAATTTGTTTCTGAATTTCAGACATCCTTTTATCATCAGCACTCTGTAATATACATTGAGAAAATAAAAATAGGTATACAGCAGTTTCTTTCAGTGACAACTGCATTGATTTTATGCATACATTTTTAAAATGAATTAAAATAAATTTTTAATATGAAACTGCCAAACATTTCTCAGATATCATATAGTACACTTAATGGTCCGCTACAGCATTAAAATGTATTTTCTTTCACACACATGAATCTCCTTTTTTCATTTTTTTGTACATTTGTAAGCTGATATCTTTTTCTGAATGTACCTTTGGCACAATGATATTTATTTCCACTCTCTACTGAACATTTTAAAGTTCACTTTTATTTCTTGTATATGCAACAAAAAACCAGTAAATGACCTCAATGCACATTAATCTTAAATAATTACTGTATATCCTACATAAATACATCACAAAATTAAATAAAACATGATTAGTGGAATAAAACCTCACTGATTATAATTATAATCTTAATAACTGCATAGCTGAAAAATTTTGAGTTCAAAATTACATTTGGCTTCCTTAAATATTTAATTTTAATATGATTAATAAATAAAATCACTAAAATGAATATTTAAACAAAGAAATAAAATAACTGTGCAAAATATAATTTTACTCGTTTCCAAAGTGTATTCTTAAATTGCTATTATCAGTAGGAAGAATACATAAATTTCCTTTACCTTTCCGCATGCTAACTTTGGAATGCTTGGAGGAGGTAAAGCTGACAAGTAAGCACCTGTACCTGTCTGGAAAAAAGTGGGGAAAATCACACTCTTGCACACTACTGAGATTTATATGTATTAAACTTCATAAATGATATACAATAAAATAATTAAAAAATCTAAATTTTTATTTCAAATTATAAAAGTTTTTTTTCAAGTGCATTTAATAAATAATAATGAAAAAAATACATAGATGTTCTTCTTTTCTCCACATTTAACTGCATTTTAATGCTCAAAATTAGAGATCTTACAAATAAATATGAAAAGAAATGAATGTGTTATAATATTTAAAATTAATATATAATTAAAATGTAAGTTATTAAAATAACACACAACATTTATTTTCATAAAAATTACATTATTAAAATGATCATGAAAATAATGATTTTGCTGAAATTTTAAGAATTAAATTTTCCTTAACTAGCATTTTAGTTTAATCATGATAAATTAAATAAATTGTAATTACTGCTATGCCAATGATTAATTTGTCTCCAATAGAAACTTGAACCTTAAGGCCAAATATTGCATTCATGCATTTAACCTAAATGGAATAAATAGAAAAAAAAAAAAAAAAAAAAAAAACATTATCATCATAATTAAAATTTTTACTTGTAATAAGCAAGTGCAAAATAAACACACATTTTAAAACACACCATTTTATGATTCATTATATAACTTATAAATTTTTACTACACATAATGTTTACTTGCTATATCTACTCCACCAATAGCACAGCCATTTTTAAAAACTGTGATTCTTCATTAATTTATTATACATATTTTTATCTATCCTCAGTCTTACTCTGTTATTTTTTGTTCATAAAATATTATACTCATGAGATAATGAGTACCAATCTTTTAAAATTGTAACTTAGTATATAGATAAAGTAACTCAGCCCTAATAATAAACTAAATAAATTAGAGAAAATACAAAGGTGTTTTCACACTTTTAGAATGATTTTGGGGCCGTTTAATTAATGTTTAAAATATGAAGAGTATTTTTAAAATTTTTTATCTGATATACTCTTTTTTTTTTCTGGACTATAAATTTGCATCATGTTTTATCATGATAAAGTAAAGTCCATAAAATTTCCAGAGGTATTGATTTTCATTCCTTTTTCATTACTTTCCAGAGTCTATTAATCGTCAGGAGTTTGCACTTAGAAAGAGCTCTTTTCGAGAGACCAAATGCACGATAGTCCATAGATGAAATATCAGCGGCCTTCACAGAAATATGTTGAAAAGGTACAGATGCAATATCTGTATCATTCTCCTTATATTTTCAAGGAAAGCACTAGTACTTTTCAAAGTATGACTTGTTGCTTTTTCCTGATAAAGTTCTGATACTCTTTGAAAGCCACTGGGATAAAGAAACAGAATTCCTTCTGTAAATATCAGATATTAAACTTTCTCTTGATAGAACATAAACTTGATTTAACAGTTTTTTCCCGTTTCTTATTTTTAATTTCACACTGTAAAGAATCTTGTGACAATCATAAACCCCTTACAGGAAGCTTCTTTGTATTGATGAAACCAGGTTTTTGTATTTTTTTCTCTTTATTTTCTATAACAAATAGGCCTCTCTTTTTATTGCAGTCATTTAGGTAAACACATGCTCGATCAAGGTTGCAATGTATTTCCATTTATCTACTGCTAAATAGTTTTCATACAGGGTTCTAAAAATAGCTCTGTGTTAAGCAACATGCCTCGGCAAAAGTTGGTGAATATTACATTTAGAATAAATTTAAAAGTAGCAGATGATATTTCACATTTCAAATAAAAGGTTGTGCAAAACACCTCTGTATATTTTAAATGTACTAAGAATCAAGAATAAAATAAATGCATTAAAAATAAATGCTGACATATAAAATATTTTTTTTTTTTAAATTATATATTCACATTTTACAACAAAAAAGCTATTCATTTCTCAGTCTAAAATCAATTTAATTACTTTCAATTACTTCAAAATCTTTTTTAAACTATCATGTTTCATATGATATAAACATATTCTAAGTAATATTTGATAATAGATAATCAATCTGTTTTGCTATTCTTTAGTACTGAAATGCCAATATTATTGTATTATAACTGAAATGTTGTAATACAAATTTGATCTACAATTTAGTGATTTAAAGATATCTTAATATCTCTCAGTAATGACTATCCAACATAACTATTCAAAAAATAATAAAAAAACTTTAGATTATCATACATTTAGATTTTTCAGAATATGCAATAATAAATTATAGTAATATAACTAAGATACTGAAATGTTACATCAACAAAATCGTAAAAACTAGAACAGAAGTACATTACTTTTAAACATACGTTCAAAACAAACTAAGATTAAATTTTTTACTAGAGATATAAACACTGTATCAACATATATGCATTAATAAAAGAATTACATCCAGTATACAGTAATGAAAAATCCTTACATTTATTCCGAATTAAAATCAAAACCTTCATGTATGTGAACTGTCATAAATTCATTTTATACAACACACCAGATACACAATTAAAAGAAAAATTAAAATTTACTGGTATGGATACATTTGTTTCACACATTTATACACAATGAACATTTTATAATGATGATACATTACCTTCAGTTTGTTGAGTAGCTGGCGATGTAATTCATACTCTAAAAAGGGTAAACTCTGAAAAAGTTAAGAATGCTCATTAATATATAATGATACAAATTTTTATATAAAAGAGAAATTTAATTCATAACTTTTATAAAAGAATATGCATGAAAAGTTTGCCCTATTATATAAATCCACAGTTTTGGCATCATAAAATTATCTAAAAACAGAAAGGCAAAATTGAGAGAAAATATAAGAAAATTTTACAATTTAAGTAATTTTACATCAACTTCAAACAAGACCAAACAGCAAAATTTTATATAACCTACACTATCAATATTTTCATGACCATTTTAATCAACAAAAGTTTCAAACCAAGCAATTATTGCACATTTTTTAAATAAGTACACTGAAATAACAGCTTTATTCAAAAAGATTTTTTTTCATGCCCATCTCCAAAATACACAGTCTGTGTCATAAGCACTAATCTATCTTATGGTATTATAAATATTCTAAAAATCTTTAAAATGAAAACATATTCAATATTGATAATCATTCAGTTCAAGAAATTTTAATTATGCAAATGTTGAAAGTTAATAACTGTTAAATATTTTTCTGCATATAATATATATAAATTTATTTCAATATGCCTGACAGCACACTTGCAAGAATTCTGTAATATGTATTATTAAAGTAAAAAATAACTTGAATTTTAACTGCTTTGAATGTAAAAAATAGAACTGATCTTATTCCTTTTAAGTAATAGAACAATAATTTCTTATAAGTTTAGATGAGTTAAATATTATCTCAAAGCATACTGTGTGTATGAGATAATACGTTATAGTAATAATTTTAATTGGCTACCGGAAATAATCACTTTATGTATTAATTATCATAAATCTATGCAATAATATGTATAAAATTAATGAACAAATGCAATAATATGTATAAAATTAATGAACAAATTATTGCTTTACTTTTAAAATTACCCACCAGAGGTGAGTGGTAAAGTCACTAAACACTGTTAGTTTGACCTGGGTTTGATTACAAGCAAACGGGTGCTACACAGAAGCTGGCTGCATAGGCATTTTCATAGTTTTATCTATGTGTAATGTGGATATAAGCCAATTTCCCTCAGAAAGTCCTCCACAAACGCATCTTAAGCAGAAAGCTATAAGGTGCTTTGCAGTAATCAAATAAACTAAATCAAACTTTTAAAATTAGATATTTGGTCACGATATGTCAAAGAGATTGGCATGTAATGTTTAATGTTCTGAAAAACCAAATAGAACCAAACCTAACAGAAAATAATTTAGAAAAAACTGAGACATATGGCTGGATTAAAAATTCCCTTCATAATTGCAATAAATCAAGATTACTTCCCTATGATGAAAAGAGTAATAAATCAATATCTCAGAAGATTTGAAACTGCAAAATTAAATACTAACAAGAACTTGATTTTTCATTACAGATTTATGCAAAATAATCTGAAATTTCTAGCAACGCCATAAAGATTTAATACTCTTCACTACAGTTTATTTGAAAAACAAAATCATTTTCACCCTATGTAGAAACAAAATACAAAAACAGACTGGAGAAAAAAAAGTATATAAATTGTTATTTGTATAGTATATAAATTGCCTTAGAATTACTGTTGAATACAGTTATTAGTTTTAAATATCTCAGGGAAAGAGGAGCAAATAAAATTTTTCTAATAATTTATAAAATAAAAAGCAGTTACTCAATCACTCTAATTAATTTCTTCATTAATTGAAAGTTTTAGATTCAGTATAATAATACTCCTCTGATTTTTAATTATCCTATATTTCATTTTACCTGATTATAAAAACTTAACTCACACAAAAATTTCTATTATATTAAAAATATTTATGTTATTATTATCACACTGTTTTACAAGATATGTTGCTCCTATTGCTTTCAAGTGACTCAGAAATTGTGAAACAGCAACCCTAACCAGATCAATAACTTTTATTCTTAATGTGATATTAACTAGTCTTTTTACGAAGCAACTTTTTGAATCTATGCAGTACACATTATCATTGCTTCTACTACACTGTATTTCTTTAATATTATTATTATTTTATTGCTATTTATTTATTATTATTATTATATTATTCTTAATTTTAATGCAGTGAACTTAGACTCATAATATTGCTATTTTATATTAAAATAATTTCATTATTGTCTATGACAAGACATAATTTCATACTCACTTCAGTGTACAGCAATTATGTCTGTATTGTACCAAAATGATCATAAAATATTTTCTTACTTTTCCATCTCCCCCATTTTAATTCAGCAGCTTTATTTTAATAACCTATCACCTGTTCATTCTGACATTTTCAGAATAAGACCACTATTAAATCCTTCTACTGTTAAATAATTGAGACTCAATGATATTTTCATTAAAAATAGATAAAGGTAAAAAAAAAATTATGTACATTATGAAGGAATTTAGAAAAATAAATTTAAAAAAATTCTGCATGTATTTTACTTAATTTTTTTTGTAATAATTTTATCTCTAAAAAGATGACTTGAAGTAAGCTGCTACAAACTGATGATGGTTCTTTGTGTTATATGAGAGATATATTGGAGAGACTTTACTGCATAGTTAGAAAGATGACACTCAAAGAAAAGACTTGTAGATGGACATGGCCAAATTGAATATAATTTTTATTGGTGGATACAAACTAATCATTACTTTTTCATCACACATCATCATGGGTGCAATAAGCACCCTACAATTTTTTATAGGGTATCACATTTTATATAATGGCAGAGTTAGTAGCACCACAAAGCAAACGGAGCAAAGCAGCATCTCGAATGCAGAACAGCTGAAGCTAAAAAGTACGCAATTACCCAATATGGAGGCCCACCAAGAGAAGGTTTTGGTTTAGATTAGAAAGGTTTCAGTTTTCGGAATTGTGAGTTTAGATTCTAAATTAGTTACGTCATCAACGTTACACAAGCCATGCATGATGGATTAATCTAAAAATTATGCAATCCAGAAAAGTTAGTATGATTTTTAGAATACAGAAGGGGAATTATGGGGTTACCATTAGTTTAAATTATAATTTTGATTTACGTATTTTTTATCTTACATACACATATGTTAGCAACTTAATGTACTTATTAACTTTTATATGTTAGAAACTTAAATGATTCATGAAATATAAAAATGTTCCTACGTTGAAAATGATAAAGAATGCGGTTACCAAATACATAATATATCCATAATACAAGCTTATCAAAGAAAATCATGGATCAAGGAAATATCTTAAGTACTTAGGGTATTATTTATTTGGAAATGCTATACAGAAAATAATGGAGGCATGATATTTTTAGGCAGCTGACTTTATTTTTATCTGGTTAAAAGTTTAATATACACAGGAGAAAAGCCAATCAAAAAGTTGCCAAGTATTGCAAAAATAGTATTGGTTCATTTTGTCCATAACAAAAGCTGCAAAATAATATTCTAAATAATATTTAAAAAAACATATACTTTTATTAATCAGCAAGTTTTAATTTCTCCGTAATATTGTGTGATCCTTATAGCAGGTGATATAATAAACTTGGTTTTGTAAAATTTTAATAAATTTATTTCATTCATACTATTTGTATTTATCTCAGGATATCAGTTAGCCATCATGATTCCCAAATCCCATTCTGTTTTCTTTCTTTCTGTGTGAAAAACTTCAAATACAGATTAAAAAAAAAAAAAAAAAAACATTTTTTTTTTAAATCTGCATCATCTAAATAATGGGATATTTCTAAGAAAGTCCTAGACAGTCCTTCTTTCCTTCTTTTTAAAATTAGCTTAAAAAAAAAAAAAAAAAAAAAAAAAAAGCATCCCTAGATTGGTATCGATTTCAAGGGTGATAAAACAGAGGTTACTCCTTCTCGAGAGTATAAAATGCTTGTTCCTGAAGAAAAGAGACCGACATCTCATCATCCATAAAATTGATATAATTTCATTCAGAATCTATGCCAAACTAAGACAGACTTTTTCCTTAATTTCAAATTCTACAAAAGCATGTTTCTCTTCCAGTTAGACTGCATTCATTGGAATTTCGTGATTCTTCTCAAATTTTGAAATGGTCAACAGTTTTGAAGGCAACATTTTTTTTTTTTTTTTTTTTTTTTTTTTTTTTTTTATTGTAAGAGGAAGCAAGATATATCTTTATCTGTTAAAAATAGTATATCAAGCCCTTTCTCCTTCTACAACAGTCTTATTTTATAGTAACATCAGAATTTCCTCAATAACTGCTAAAAAAAAATTATGACCTCTCTAAACATTGCTCTGATTTATAACTTTCCTGGACCTCTATTTAGACTTGAATTCAGAATATTCAGGACCTTATAAAAATATTATACATATTACTATTATAAAACTCAAAATTGTAATAAGAGAAATCAACATAAAACACAAGCCTTACATCACTTATTTCTTTTGCATTTTGTTCTCCTTTGCCATCTTTTTTGCTTTTGCATACTCTGAAACAAGGTTAAAAATTAACACTAAATATAATTATTACATAATTGCAGTTAATGTAAAAACATTTCTGAAGATGAGTTAATTTTAATCATAAATTTACAAAAAGCATTTTAAATAATCACCTAGCTTGGAGCAGACAACTTTTGCCATTTACAACTATATTCGGTGGAGGCTCAATAGTCATAAATAATACATCTGGAACTTTAGCTTTCCTGTAATTGAAATGATATATCATTTTATTAAATAAAAATTTTCCTAAATAATTCATATTTTATTAAAAAATTATTCTTACAATACATGATGAAATAGAATTAAGTATGACAAAAATATAAGAAAAGAATAGCATTTAAAATGCTATATATTTTCAATTCTGATTCTATGTATACCAGAATTAGGCAAAATACAAAACAGTCTCATACATAAAGACGACCATTAATTTCTAAAAGAACTTTATCAGACAAAAAAAAAAAAAAAAAAGTTTCTTACATACATAAGCTTGATAGAAAGAAAATATGTTCAAATTGAAAAATTATTACATATAATTTATTCTGATTATCTAAATATCATAATTTAAGGTAAAGCTAAGTAAATATTTCTTGCTTGAATGTGAAAACTAAAATAATAAATTACTGTAAGGTTTTTAAATGGACTTAAGATAAATATAGCTTGGACAGTGGATTTAAGACAAATATAGCTTCCATAGGTACAGTGTCCAAGAAAGAAGTAATGAAGAACGACAACATATACACCTGAAATTAAGGTGTTTATAGCAGCATCCAGTGGTACGTAAGAGAAAAATCTGATGTGTACACCATATGACTTCCTTGTACGGAATATTAAATTATACGCATTTTTTCTTGCATTTCATTTAAACTTATTGGATTGAATTAAATCTACTTCATCAACAGTGTATAAACCACAATAGAATAAATGCACTCTTTAAAAATTCACTATATTTGTTTACCATAGCAACACTCTGGCACTAGGTTCACTTAACAGCATTATATTTCGTTCATATTATAACTCAGAATGCACAAAATTTATATCACTTGAAGAATTATCTAATCATTGCCGCATGTTCTATTCAAATACTATAATAAAGCTAGAACGATGTATAAAAGAAATTAAGCAAAAAATAAAATAAAATAAAATAAAATAAATAAATAAATAAATAAAAAATAAAAATAACGCAATAATAAATGAAGGCATTATCTTTGTTGTTGTGAAGCTTAGTCTCTCTAGATTGGCAAAAAATCTACTATTCTGCTGTTTCAAATGTAAACAAATATGTCTGCCATGTTATTTAAAGATTATGCTTAACCGCACTTAAACAGCTTTTAAATTGTTGATAATTGTACAAATATTGCTTCCAGATTTACGAAAGGCATAAACATCTAAACCAGAAGATAAGAACAACATAATTCAATCATTTTTAAAGCAAAAAATGCACAATCGTGATTACAATACTTCCTTTTTACTTCGTACAAGGAAATAAAGAAACAAAGTATTTTTAACTATTAAACTCAAAAATTAAATACTCCGACATCACATTTAAGTTTTTTCTCTAACACTCATAAATTTATGCTATAAGAGCTTTGTTCAAGGCTAATAGCAGCTCGTATACTTTAGCAAAATAACCAGTTTTTACTTTCACAAATATTCTTTTAGCCATAGACATAAAAAAATTTGTTATAAATGATGTTTTTAAAAGGAGTTATATAAATGGATGTTGTATTTAATAGGAAATAAAACTAAGTTCCTATAAAAAGATTAAAAAAACTAAAACTAGACTCAGTGGCATAACAGCCCTAATGGGCCAAGACCTGCAGTGCCGGAAATCTGCTTTCTTGACTGTGGGCCCCGGGGTGCGCAAGCACATGCCCTGAACAAGTGGTCAGCTTGTCGCAGGGGGCCCTGGGTTGTGCAAGCATATGCCCTGAACAAGTGGTCAGCTTGTCGCAGGACCCCCAGTGTTTAGTCTCCACGCGAACTTGGTACTCATTTTATCGACCCAAGTGATGGAAATCAAAGGATGAAAGGCTGAGTCGACCTTGCCCAGCCCGGGAATCGAACCTCAGACCTTTGGTGCTGCTGTGCAATGCGCTAGCCACTGCACCACCGGGCCTTATAAAAAGATAATAGTACCTCATAAATTCTTTTAGAGTTGATCGACATATTAACAAGTTTACACTTTCTGTCACCACCATTTCTGGGCTCATATTGCTCTGTTTTCAATTAGAATCCTATTTTTACATCGATTTGCTGTCTCTAACAGCAGATATTTTGTCTTCTTGTTGATTTGTATTTCTTACTTTTCAACGCGATTTGAGAATATCATCCTTTGTTTTTGAAGAATCCGTACTATATTGTGTATTTAAATATTTGTGAAAAAATAATAAAACAAATCTAGATTTTTTAAATGGAAAAATGGCTAGGATTGAATAAGTGGAAAAGCTATGATTCACGGGTGATGGATTCAGGACAATCTACTAGCACTCAGAATATTGAGAAGAAACGAAAAATTGTTCATAGAAAATATAATGAAAGTTACTTATCATTTGGATATGGATATGAAATGGATGCTCAATCTCAATGTGTTGTTTGCAGTGAACTATTATCCAATCAAAGTACAAAAACATCGTTTGTTAGAAGACATCTTGAATCTAAGCATGCCAATTTAAAGGATAAATTTGAAGAATATTTTAAGAGGAAATTATGAGTTCAAAAATAGTAAACAAATAATGAAAGGTTTTGTTACTTCAAGTGAATAGGTGGTACGCAAAGAAACAAAGTATTTTAATTATTAAATTCAAAAATTAAATACCCCAACATCCTGTTTAAGTTTTTTCTCTAACACTCGTAAATTTATGCCATCTGAGCTTTTGTTCAAGGTCCAGCCACTTATAGACTTTAGCAAAATAATCCATTTTTCACAAATATCCTTTTAGCTATAGACATAACATTTGTCGTAAATTATGTTTTTAAAAGGAGTAATAGAAATGGATGTTATATTTAATAGGAAATAAAAATAAGTTCCTGTAAAAAAGATAATAGTATCTCATTAACTCTTTTAGAGTTGATCGTTTTATTAGCCATGTCTACACTTTATTCTGCTACCATTTCCGGTATCACATTGCTCTGTTTTCAATAAGATTTTTTTTTTTTTTTTTTTTTTTTACTTCGATTTGCTGTCTGTAAGCTTGCCAATCTAAAAGATAAATCTGAAGAACATTTTAAGAGGAAATTAGTAAACAAGTAATGAGAGTTTTATTACTTCAAATGAAAAAGCTTTTTAAGCTAGTAGTTACCTAGTAAACCTATGAATTGCAAAGACTGAGCAGGCTCACACTATTGGAGAAAACCTTTATATTAAAAGCAAATTAAGATATTGTTTTAACATATTTAGTGAAAAAGTGGCTGATGAACTTAATAATATTGTATTATCGAATGATATGGTAAGTTAATGAATTCATGAAATGGCAAATTCCATGAAAGAGATACTCATTAAAAAAATAAAACACAGTGAGTATTTTGCATTGCAGTTGGATGAAAGTACGCATATAACAAACTCAATGTTCAATTAGTTTACGTCCATTTTTAATGTTTAATTATTAGTTTATATACATTTCGAAGATGATAAAAGAATTGCTGAAGAGTATTAATTTTATGAATCTCTTTATGAGAGAGCAACTGCAAATGAAATTTTCAAAGTAATTGACAATTTTATGTCTGAGAATGATATTCCTTGAAATAAGTGCATCGCCGTATGCAACTATGGAGCTTGGGCTTTAACAGAAAAACATTACAGTGTTATTCCTCAAATAAAGAAAGTTGCACCTGAAACTAAATTTACACCTTGCTACATTCATCATGAAGCTTTAGTAGCCAAAACAATCTCTGAAAACTTGAAAATCATTTTGAATCAAGCTGTGAAAACTGTTAATTTTATTAAAAGCCAAGCTTTAAATTCAAAAATATTTATGATTTTTTATGGAGCAATGAATACGAAACACTTTTGTTACATTCCAAAGTTATCTAGAGGCAAAGTTTTAAATTGTCTTTTTGAACTTGATCATAAATTCAAATTTTCCTCTGTGATTCAAAATTTGAATTGCAAAATTGTTTATTTAGTGAATTGTGATGAATTTAGCATATTTAGCTGATATTTTTTGGAAAGTTAAACGAATTAAATTTAGGATTACAAGGATAAAGAGTTAATTTGTTTACTTTTAGAGATTAAATAAATGCAATGATAAAAAAAATCAAGCTAATAATCAAAGAAATGGATAATAATATTTTAAGCTTTTTACCACTTTTAGAAAGTGATCTAACCGAAAATAATTTGAAAATAAAAGAAGAAATAGCATCCAACATTAAAAATCATTGTTTTAAATTAGTAAATAATTTTAACATGAACTTTCCCGATGATTATGAAAAAGAAAATTGGTTTAGAAATCCATTTTATTCAAATGTACCTAAAATTTTATCACATGAAGAAAAAGAACAATTGATAGAAATTTTCTGTGATCAAACTCTAACAGAAGATTTCAAAAATAACACACTTATTAACTTTTGGATGAGCTGAAAAAAAGAATTTAAAGACATTTCAAATAAAGCTATTACACTTTTATTGCGTTTTTGCACACCTATTTGTGAAAAAAAGGATTTTCTTTCACATTATATTTGAAAAATAACACAGAGCAAAATTAAAAGTGAATCCTAATTTATGGTTAAAACTAAGTGAAATAAGACCAGACATAAAAAAAAACCTGATCTCTCTCAAACAGGCCCCAATTTCACATTAAATTTTAGAATTATAGTAGCATAATGTAAATTTTGCTAATTAAAATGGGAATTAATTTTTAATCTAATATTTTTTATGAGTGCATATTTAATATAAATAGCCAATAGGTTGTGCAAATGGCAATATATATATTTTCAATATTTCTATTGAAAAACTGGTAAATAATCATTGTAAAATGTAGAGGTGGTACTCAAGATTTTCAATTTTTGTTTAGATGGTACACGTTAGTCAAAAGGTTGAGAAACGCTGGTTTATAGCATTGCAGTTTTACAGTTCAAAAGTTAAAAAACTTTTAGTACACTCACAGTGTACTAAGCATCATTTCATCATTTGTAGCTCTGGTTCTGTATAGGCAATAAGTTATCTCATTCCACAAGCTTAAAAGTTTCACTGATGTAACCTAATCTT